TCTCACTTGTTGTGGAGGATTTTTGGCCCACTCTTCTTTACAACATTGTTTCAATTCATTGAGGTTTCTGCGCAATTGTTTATTCACAGCTCTCTTGAGGTCCCGCCACAGCATTTCAATTGGGTTGGAGTCTGGGCTTTGACTGGGCCATTGCAATATCTTAATGTTTTTCTTTTTAAGCCATTAAGATTTGCTGATATGCTTGGGATCATTGGCTTGTTGCATGATCCAATATCAGCCAAGTTTTAGCTATTGGACAGATGGCTTCACATTTGACTCTAGAATACTTTGGTATACAGAGGAGTTCATGGTCGACTCAATGACTGCAAGGTGTCCACATGCTGGGGCTACAAAACAAGCCCAAATCATCATTCCTCCACCACCCTGCTTGACGGTTGATATGAGATGTTTGTGCTGATATGCTGTGTTCGGCTTAGCCAAACTTGGCACTGCATTATGGCCAAACATCTCCACTTTAGTCTCATCTGTCCAAAGGATGGTGTTCCAGAAGTCTTGTGATTTGTTCAGATGAGATTTTGCAAATCTAAGATATGCTGCCATGTTTTTTTAGAGAGAAGAGGCTTTCTCCTGGCAACCCTTCCAAAGAAACCATACTTGTTCAGTCTTTTTCTAATTGTACTGTCATAAACTTCAATATTTAACAAGCTAATTGAGGCCTGTAAAGTCTGAGATGTAACTCTTGGACTTTTTTCAATTTCTCTGATATATTACACAGTCTGACTTTGGAGTGAATTTGCTGGGACATCCATTCCTGGGAAGATTGGCAACTGTCTTGAAGGTTTTCTACTTGTAAATGATCTTCGTTATTGAAGAATGATGGACTTTAAATTGTTTGGAAATGTCCCAATAACCTTTCCCAGATTGATGGGCAACAACAATTGCTTCTCTAAGATCATTCCTCTTTGGCATTGGTTACACATTCCTCAGTGCTGGAGACCAGCAAACTCCTAAAACTTCAACTTTTACAGAAGTAGTCACACTTGCTGATAATCAACCGATCAAGGACACTTGATTAGCAGCACCTGGCTGCTACTTAGATTCTTCAGACCTTTAGAAGCAGTAAAGATGTATTTAGTTTTTCACACATGGCTTCTCCATTTTGGCTTTCTTTTTGTAAAATAAATGATGATATGTTATAATACATCATGTGTTGTTGTTCATCTGAGCTTGTACTTACCTATTTTTAAGAACTGCCAAGGACGAGATTTTTTTTTTTACTATGTCATATATAAAACCATAGCACTCAAAGAAGGTGTACTTTCTTTTTCACATGACTGTACATTCCAGATATTTTTTCTGGAATCATATACCAATGGTACATCATTTTATAAACATTCCCTTTTTAGGCTATAATGTGAATTTCAATAATTTCAATCACATGTTTCTGTTGTGCTCATTTCATACATTTTGGGCTCCAGTTGAGACTTAATAGAGAAATTAAATTTCTCTATTAACATTAATGGAGAAAGTCATTGCATACTTTAACGCCAGATTCCCAGGCAACATTTATTTTCTGCGAAAGACAAAATATAGTATAAATCTGTGGTGGGATTCAAATTTTTTCACTACTGGTTCTGTGAATGTGGCTTGGTGGGCGTGGTCATGTGACTGAGTGGACGTGGCCAACTCGATGTCACTCACGGCAAGGTGGGGCAGCACCACCCCACCAAGCCACGCCCACCAAGCCACGCCCACAAAACCGACAGAGAAGTTCAGCCAAGTCTTCTAGTGTTCAACCTGGCTGCTTCTCGCCTCCTTCTCATGTTTGCTCTGTGTGTATGAGGCCGAGAAGGAGGCAAGAAGCAGCCATGTTGAATGCTGCTGCAGAGAAAAGCCAAACTTTTCTGCCTCCCTTTGCAGCAGAGCTGTCCCTCTGGCGCAGCAGGCCGTTTTCTTGGCCAGGTCAGGACGTGAGCGGCACCAAGAGGCAATGGGGTGCACGTGTGTGGCCAATGCGAACAAGGCACCGACGGCGGCGATGTCCTGTGACCGTCGCTGCCATCACTGCCCTGTTCTTTGCTCTGGCTGTGCACACGTACCCCATTGCCTACCAGTGCTGCACGCGGCTGGACCCGGCTAGGAGGATGACCTGCTGCACCAGAGGAATGGCGTCGCAGTGGAGATGCTTGGAAGGCAGCCGAAAACAAATGGCAGCTGGAGGCTTCCCGCAAAAGGCAGCCAAGCCTCGCCATGTCCCCCCCACCAAGGTGACTGGAATGGAAGGTAGATCTGGAATGAAAGTTAGCCTGGCCTAACTTTCTCCCTCTTTTTAAACAATTTTAATATTTTAATATTTTTAATCCTCAAAGTTTAAATTTGTTTTAAATTGATTGGGTTTTAATCTGTCTGGACCAAACTATTTAATTCGATTTTATTTCTGCTTTTTAAATTTTGTACGTATGTATTTTATTGTTGGCTGTTCACCGCCCTGAGTCCTTCGGGAGTAGGGCGGTATACAAATCAAATAAAAGTAAAGTAAAGTAGATGAGTGGGGTGGCAAGCGGCCGGCAGCTCCAGGGCAAGGCTGGAGCTGCCTTGCTCCAGTCTTGGGGAGTGGCACATTCCTTGACCTGGACGAGGCGGGCGGAGACTCAGGGCTTGGGGAATGGTGCTTCCTTGGGCCCTGGCGGAGAGCGAGTGAGCAGCATGCTTACCTTTGGTGAGCTAAGCAGAGTGGGCGAGGCATGGAGGTGATTGGCTCGGCGATTAGCTGGGCTGCATGGCAAAGGCAACATATATAGGGTGGGGTGGGCGGGTCAGTGGGCATTAGGGGCGGGCAGGCATGGGCGGGGGCAACCAGAGGTGGTATTTACCAGTTTGGCGAACCAATACAAATTGCCGCTACCGGTTCACTTGAACTGGTCCGAACTATCTGAATACCATCTCTGGTATAAATGTTGATTTTTTTAGTATATTCTTTTCTAAAAGAATGTGAATTTAGAATGGTTATAATATTAATTTCCTAAAATGAATCTCTAAATCATTGTATAGAATTAGTGCAATGAAAGTAAATTTTACTGATTATATGGGCATACTAATCAAATAACTATATCAGGGATATCAAACTTGCGGCCCGCAGGCCAGATGTGTCACGGGCTGGCCACGCGCACTCCTGGTTTAGCGAAGGGGAAAAAGTCGCAATACATCATGTGACAATGTAATGATGTGAGTTTGACACCCCTGGTTTATATACTACTAAAACTCATCTGTCTGAAACCTTCAAGTAGTCCAAATGGTGCATCATAGTTCAAGGTTTTTTGAATCAGTGTACCTCAAATCCATTTACTTAAAGAATGTATACAAAATCTGGGACCCATTATACCTGTGTAATTGAAATTTCAAGGATGTTCATACCAGTTATATTTGCAAAGTTGTAGCCACTAGCATCATTGCAGTTCGCTTCAATCACATGATTGTGACTTCCAATGCTTCCTGCCAGCTTCCCACAAACAAAGTCAATGGAGAAGCTGGTTGGAAGTCATTCCCACTTCCAGTTGTTTTGCTCACCCACAGTCATCTTGCTTCTCTGTTTAGGTAAGGAAATATATCTGAAAGAATGACCCAACAGATCATGGATTGTTTAATGGTACTTAGAAATAACACTCTTTATTAATGTATGTTTCCATAAAATTATAAATATTCAAAATGGCAATATATGCATTTTAAAAATATTAACTGCAGTTTACTAGCCAAAGTTTCCCCAATCTGATATTTTACAGATATAGTTAAGTGTATATATTTGGACAGCAGGTTCTGAAACTCAGCTGGCAATTACTGTTCCGGCTAGGAAATGTGGGAATTATCAGTTCAGTTAGTGGGTGGAATGGGGGTGGGTGGGTGCAAGGGAAAATCATAGTGACAAGCTGAGCTTGATTATACAAGGAATATCTTGAAATCCATGTACATAGAATTTGCTTTGCATGGCATTATCATAGCAGCATAATAAATCTTTGCTCCACAGGATTCTGGTTCTCAGTGGTCTTGAGAAAAATCTTTCTAAAGAATTTGACTACATAGACCAACACCCAAAGAATCACAGAACTGATTTTGTACATCAGAGGCAGCAGCTCCTGCTGCCAATATATCAAACATGTGTGAAACTAAAGTGATTTCCAATCCCACTGAACATGCTGCAGATAATTGAACTTGTCAGCTTTGGCTTTTAGATAGCGAAGACTTTGCTTTCAGACAGTGATCACAAATAGGCAAATTATTGCTAATTTGTTAACACATATACTGCCAAAAGAATACATTTTCTCCTGATAAATTTATAGTTTCTTTAAAAAGACTTGTGCCTCCTGGAATTTATAAATATTCATTTTCAGATTGTTTATGATGGTCTGGTTATCAAATAAATCTCTTAATTGTGTTTCAGAGTTCTTACTTGGCATTAATAATAGTAGTAACAGGGCAGAATAATTTTCTAAATAGTATTCTTTGTGCTAGTCATCTTTTCTGTGCCCTAGTTTCCAGTTATCTTATTTGGAGGACAGGACTGCTTGCTTTTTTGTCATAACTCTCATTTTTAGGAATACAACATACACGTGCCTCATCAAAAGAATGTATCCATGCATGTAAGCCCCTAAATGAGTTCCTTTATATAGGCAATTAGATACTCTCTGGGAGCAATAGTGCTACGACATATTGGCACACTTAGGATGGCTGAAATTACTTAGCGTACAGCCTATGGCCTTGACTTGTCCTGTAGGTGTTGGTGAATGGTCCTTTTAATGTTCTTAATTATTTCATTCCTCATTACTAGCCTGGCCAGACCACTTGACCTCCATTGATCTTGGTTTTCTGAAGAATTTCTCTTCTGTCTCCCTTGCTAAATTTCTCTTGTGTGACAAATTGTACTGGTGTTTGCTTCTGGAAGGAATTGGGCATTTGCAGTTAACACTTAGTTAAGTTTTAGATTGATGATCTTCTTTAATGAACACACATAATAATATTTGTTGAAATCTTTTTTCTTTAATCAGTATGTCATGCTGAACTGAATGCCATAATGAACAAGAATTCTGCTGATGTAAAAGGCTGCAGCATATATGTTGCTCTGTTTCCATGTAATGAATGTGCAAAGCTCATCATCCAGGCAGGTAAGAAAAGGGGCCAGCTTTATTTTGGTATTAGAGTGCTGCCTGTTTGGACACATCATTACAAGTGCCGCTGTTTAGATCTAAATTAATTGCACTATCAATCTTTAAGTTACTCCTTGTATTTTTTTTTTTATCCTTGACTGGTGCCAGGTTTTCCCATACTAATTGCATCCTCTGTGATTCTTACTTATTTTTAATTTAAGTTTTTAACTTTCTAGACCAACAGTTGCCAAGAAACTGTGCAGACATTGCATATTATTACTGTCGGTTTACATTGCTGACACACTGAATGTAAGGGGAGGAGATGGAAGAATAAACTTTGTGTGACATAAGATCTCCTGGGAATATATATGTTACATTTTAATTTGAATATCAGACATGGTTAGCACTTGAAGATTTTTATCTCTTTTGTCATAAATGTCATAAGACTTCCAGGCTCTCTCTCGCTCTCTTTTTCTCATTACAATAGTTACACATTTTTGCCATCGCTACAGTTGTGCAAGTGTGACAGTTGGGCCTTTCATCAGATTATTAGATACTGGTAAAATGCCCATCCTTATGACAGTGTTCAGAGAAAAGTCGTGTATGTTTCTTAGCCATATGGAGTTGTGCTTATTGTACATCTCTACAGGTTCTTTGGCAGTGAGAGTCAGACCATCTCCTGTCATCAGTGGTAGTCTTTCTTTGCCCTTATGACTCCATTGTCTCCAGTTTTTTATCTGAAGAGATTTTGTAGATCATTAGTAGAGATCATGCACAGTATAAAAATGATCTCTAGTTAAATTCCTGACATTTCCAATTAGTTCTGGGGAAAATAAATCCAACTGAATAAAAAAGAATCACTATCAGTCAATATGCACAGTAGTAGCTTGGTAGACTACAGGTCTGACAATTTTAGCAAATTTCTCATGCAGTCATCTTTTCCAAGAGTGAATCCTTTACTTAATTTCATTTAAAAGAAAAAAAGGTATGCATCATTGGAATGGAGAAAAAATCCATTGCTTACATCTGCATAGTCCTATTCCTTGTTTTGTTTCCTGCTTGTATTTAAAACATGGGAGGAAGGAGACAAGATGGAAACAACCTAGCAGCTCCTGAAATGAATTTACATCCTCTTACCACTCTGGTGCAGTCCTTCAACCTAAAAATGGCATCCAGAGGTAAAGAAAGAAGCTGGGCAACCCCCAGTAATGATAATGGGGCCCAGAAATCCTACAAAGCAGAAAAAAACAGATGAGAACTGACTCCTATCTCCCCACTGCAAAGGCGATCAAAAATGTCAGTAGCAGATCTACAACCTCAGAATCCCTTTATCTCCAAAGAAGTTGACAAACAAAAGCCAGGAATAAGAGCTGCCTCCACCAATCCTCCAAAGCTTCAGTGCAAGTCACTCCCCAGAGCAGGGAAGCAGTGAGAATAGTTGTTTGGAGTAAGTCTCCTGCACCCCCCTCCCCTTACAATAATACTATTCCCCTCTTACCATAAGGTAAGCTTTTTGTCTGCAGAACAAATGGATTGGTTTTCATACTGCAATGGATAAATGGCAACTTCCAACAAGTGCTTGATCTGCAAATCCTCCATGGCAATCGGGTTAAATTTGCAGCAGAAGCTGGTCATGCTGGCACTACAGCAGCCTGTCCCATGTCAACTGTGCATCCAGAAGCACCCATAGAAATACATTGGAATGCTCAGAGCTGGCACTGCCATAAGACTATTGTGACTTCCCTATCTCAGCTTCTAAACTGCCAAAATAGAGAAACTGATTTGAAACTCTTTCATTACTTACCCAGCTCAAGAAATGCTAAACAATTATTCCTGGATTTCAAACAATAATCTCTCCCTTCTAGACTTATACAAATGAGTGAATTTCTGTGGCAGACTCACTACATCCAAATTGTCAGAGTCTTTAAGGACGAGTTAGTCCGTGATCCCATCACTAGGAAAGTGACAAATGGTCAGGACCCTGCAGATAAGAGCCATAAAAAACGTAGGCTCCAAAAGTAATTCTGACAGACTTGTCAAGAGCAAGAATATAAACACAGAACTCATTAATCTGAGGAAGAAACTAGCAGACAATCAAAACAACAATCCTGACATCTCCCCACCCTCTGGTAATGATATGGAAGTCCAGCACCAACTTTACACATCTGCCCTATAGAGATGCTCAAATCATTTCACACTGCTGTCTTTTCTTTGACTCAGATAGGTAGAAAACTGTCAGCACACTATAACTTTTTCACCAGTAACAATGATAATGACATTGATAGTGACTCCTCCAAAGCTCCATTTCAGCTATATTAAAAAATACCTAGAAGGAACTGCCTCACAAGCAAAACAAATTTCAGCCAAGCCCTCCAAAAAATGCAACCTGGAGGTATACCCTCATCTGCTTCCAAACTATCCTGTCCTTGCAGGAACCTGACTCTCAGGATAAACAGCTCTCTCCCTATCTTTCTCTCACTTGGTAAGGCAAAGGATGTTCCCCTTGCTAAAGAGTTGGGAATCAAAGCAGCATAGGCAGCAAACGTGGATTAATGGTGAGCACTAGTAACCCACAATTTGCTGCCCATGCTGCTTTGATTCTGCAGTCTCTTTGCCAGAATAAGCTCCACTGCCCCTTCAAAAGAAGGGAAACTCAGCAGACAAAAAGATGGCAAAATAGGAAGAATAGGATCTCAAAAGGAGAAGCTACTATAAAAATTATCCTGCTCCTGGCTCTCGGTGCATTTGTTTGATATCCATGTGATCATCATAATGTCATCTTTCTAATCTGGAATGTGGCTGGATGATTCGCTTCCCTGTTTTGTTGACTTCCTCTCCTGCCATGACACCGTATTGATTCAGGTAATTTGGACCGCTGGGGAACTGCTATAAATGGATTTTATTCATGTACAATTGGAGCAGAACCAAGCGTAAAGCATGAAAGACCAAAAGAGGGCTTGGGGTTCCTAGTCTTCACTACCCTATGTGCCATATCATGGCCCCTCCTGCATTCAAGTGAAAACAACAGTCAGTGAAAAACCACTTTGTATTTCAGCAAAGAATGTGGACTATACTGAAGTGCCCATGTAGTTGCCAAGATTTGAGTTCAGCTTGATTAATTCTCTGTCATTACCATCTGTAAAGTCTGTAAAGGAATTGTACTGATATCTTCACTGATGAGTCATAGAATGTAGAATTGGGGGGTGGGGGTGGAGGATTCCAAAATACTTCACATCAATTGGTACTCATTTGTCACCATGTATAAGCAGTAACAGTTAAATCAGCTAACATTTAAACTAGTGTTTTTTATAAAGTTGCTAAATTTGAAAAACACTGATTTGAAGACTGCTTTGTAGACATAGCATTTATCTCTATGAGTGCTTCTTGCAGGATATTATTACCACACAGTAGAGTGAGGTCCCATTATTCTCTTCAGCTCCTGCCCACTTAGCAGTTCGAAAGCATGTAAATGCAAGTAGATAAATATGTATCACTTCAGTGGGAAGGTAACAGCTTTCCGTGCACTTTAGCGTATAGTCATGCTGTCCACATGACCATAGAGGTGTCTTTGGCTGGCTCCCTTGATTAAGAAATGGAGATGAGCACCGCTCCCTAGTGTTTAACATGACTAGACGGGAAATAAACTCTTACCTTTTTATGTTAATATAACCTTTTGATAGAGTAAGATATGAGCATAATTAAGTTTGGCTCTGACTGTTAGTGATGAGATATAGAGAGTTGGAAGCAGCAGATAGAAGGATTTTGAATTTGTATGGGAGGTGTGCAAAATTATGTTCTTCAGAGAAAAATTGTGGTTCTGTGCTCACAGATGGACAGTAGTAGCTTACTCATCTGCATACAGAAATGCAAACAAAGTACAAGTACAATATGTTTTGATAGCAGCAGTTTCATATTTATAGTTTGTTGCTGAATGTATGGCATCTGTCTTCAGTTTTTTTATACCGTGTTTCCCGAAAATATGGCCTATTCAAAAAGTAAGGCCTAGCCCAATTTTTTGGGAGTGGGACTAATATACACCCTAACCCAAAAATAAGCCCTAGTGAAAAGGGTGGGTGTGGCCAGCACAGGAGGCAGCCCTTCCCTTCCCCAGTCACCTGGGACCCTTAACCGCGGCCCGTGGATCAGCTGATTGAGTGAGGACTGGGAGTTCTGTCTCTCCGGGTGCCTGAAGATATTTCCAGCACACTTGCTAGCCCCAGCCCTGCCCACAGCACCAGGCAACCTTGCAGCCAAGGGCCCCCTGTTCCGCAGCCCACCTTGTGGCTATGGAGCTGGCGGTGACCATGGTTTGCAGCAGAAGCAGTAGAAGTCTTTCTTTTTCTCCCCCAAACTCCGTCAGAAATGAGTCTTTGTGAGACTCGTTGCGCCGCTGCAGCCTCTTGGAGCAGGACTCTGCAAGACTTGTGCCATTGCACACACAAATGGTGTTCTGCCCCAGCTACGGACCCCAAAGAACGCAGCACAAACAAAGTCTGTACAAACCTTAGTTTATTAATTAAGGACTACTAATGAGCTTTCTTAGTAGTTGTTCGAATACAAATACAGTTTAAATCAGTCTTTTCCGAACAAGGGCTGTTAACTTCATTAACAGCCAACAAGAATCCAAAGAATAATAACTCAATTCTGAGGCACAGTATTTCAGATAACCATAATCTTACTGTGGTTGGCAGAATGCCCAGAAGCAATTTTCAAGAAGACTGACGAGAGAAAAAAGAGCCGAATCAAAAGTTTCTGGAATCAAGATGCAAAGGAATATGAACGAAGTTGTTTCCTACAAATTGCCTCAGTCGTTATCCTTCCTTAAATAGGCTAGGGGAGTGGCCAATTAGCCCCAAGCCTTACTCTCGAGGAGACCTCCTCCTGAGGAGCCACTCCTGCCTTTTAACAGCTTTGCGTGCTCGTACATCGAGAAGAGGCTCCTCGTCTTCTTCCTCTTCACTTATGGGAGCTTCTGGAGGTTCTGAAGGCCCTGGCTGGAGGTTCTGAATCCCCGCCTCTGGCACCACATCTTCTCCAGCCTCCTCATTGTCCGACTTGACCGCCAGCTGCACAGGCTGCTGGCGCAGCACCACACCAGCCTCCTCGCTGTCGGAATCAGCTACCAACTGCACAGGCCGCTGACAAGCCACAACAAACGGCAGCACCACTGCAAGGTTTGATATACTGGCGCAGCAGCGAGCGGCAGGACGCCAGCTGTGTTGGTATTATGAAGCTCGTGGCGGTGCTGCCATTCGTGTGTGCAATGGCACAACAAGCTTTGCAGAGTCCTGCTCCAAGAGGCTGCGTCGGCATGATGAGTCTCACAAAGTCTCATTTCTGGCAGAGTCTGGGGGAGAGAAAAAGACTTCTGCTGCTTCTGCTTTTGGCTGCACACAAGGAAAGCAGCAGAAGCAGCAAAATTCTTTCTTTCTCTCCCCCAAACTCCACCAGAAATGAGTCTTTGTGAGACTCATCGCCTCTCTCTCCCCGGCTGCTGGGATGGGACTCTGCTCCTGCAGTTGGCTGCTGGCTCGATGCTTCCACCTTTTCTGCCTCCATCCGCCTCTCCCTGGGCTGAATCTCTCATGCAACACGCCCATCCTCCTTCCCTCTTTTCTGAATCACTGGCGGCAGCAAAGCTGTGCTTAGCCTACAGCTTCAGCTGGCCAGCCTGCCATAAATGCCCCTTCTTTGATCTACCCAATACTACCACTGCTGCTTGCTGCTGCTATCCTCCACGGCGACTTAAGCAACAGCAAAATCGGTCCTAACTACCAGCGGCCTCAACTACTGTCCAGTGAGTGAGAGAGAGCAGGAGAGAGGGGGAAAACATACAGAGAGCATGCAACTGAGCAGAGGAGGGGGGAGTCGAAACAACTAAATTGGAAAACACTGAGCTGCTCCGCGCGGCGGCTACTCAGCAGCTAGTCACACGCCGCCAAGGACATTTTTCCTCCGGACTGCGCGTGACGGCTCAAAACATGCGTGCTTCTGCGCCCTCCGCAGACATGGGCCGTTCCCATCCCCCCATCACATGGAATGGTTGCTTCTGCCTCTTGCATACTGCACATTCCTCGGGGTAGCCAGTCAGTCGGCGCGCTCTCCGATTCACGGTGTGCGCCAAAGGTAGCAGTACTGTGTTCCGCAGGCAGGGCCCCTGGGCTGTTATGTCTGTGGGTGTGTGAATGGCGAGCCAAGACCGTGATCCATTTATGCGTATGCAACTACAGTAAAGCGGAGCACAAACCCCTGGCGACACAAGGGGGGTGGGCAGTGTTGCTTGGGGGGGGTAAGGGGTAGCAGTGAGTGCAGCAATGGTAAAAGTGAATTTCGGCGTGGGCGACGACGAAGCAAGTTTTACATTAACTCCAGGGGTAAACTGTAGCCACCTGGTAGGAAACGGGCCACTCTGTTAAGTGTCTAAGACAAGCCATCACCTGAAACTACTGAAAACTAGAGCCGGGAGTTAATGCCACCGAAAAGGCTCATCTGATACCATAATAGAAAAGGAGAAAAACAGTTCAGATGCCTTTTAAGAGGTTCTGGTTGGCGTGTGAGCAATGGTGGAATGGTTGAGCAAAAGAAGCAGCAGCAACTATTTTCTGCTTAGGTTTTTTTCTCTGAGTGTCACCAGATAAGTCCATTCTTTGCTCACTTTGGCGACCACTCTCGCTACCTCCTGGACCTCAAAAAAAATAAGACCTCCCCGAAAATAAGCCCTAATACTTATTTTCAAGCTGAAAAGAAAATAAGACTTGATCTTATTTTGAGGGAAACACAGTATATCCTTCAACAGTTGCTTAAGTAAAGACAAAAAGTAATTTATTTGTATTACAGTCCTTGAAATCCTACTAGTATATTTCCCCCTTTTTAAAGCCCTATAGCCTTGAGGCTACAAGTACAATTTTTTGCCTCATTAACAACACTGCTCCTTTCCAAAGATATTTTTATTTATAGCAACATCTAAATTACAGAATACATGATCCAGATCTGTCATGCTGATTGTAGTTGTTGCTATCATGTTAGATGACCTATTTTAGCTTGTTTATAATGTGCAGGATCAGCATGCTGCATTTTAACTGGTTACATTCAGTAGTTGAGTTTAAACTAAATGGGATACATAGCTAATGTAGGGGTTTCATTGAACAGGATACTAATTTACAAGTGATGTTTCTAACATGGGGAATATTCCTAGCTTGACTACGGAGGCAAACATACTAGGGGTTTATACCAAAGAAATCTGTAACTGTTCCCTTTGCAGTAATTAAAATATAATGTCAGTGATCAACAGAACTCATGTTGCTGCCTCTGGCACATAGAGATTTGTACAAGAGTAATTTTCCCCCCTTTTCTTTAGCTGCATGGAAACTTTATTGAACTTCTCTTTAACAGGATTTTTTTTGTCTACATGTCTAAATGAACTACTGTATCTTGGCTCGTACTTGATGTTTTTGTTTTCTCCCCCACTGTTCTAGGGATAAAAGAAGTCATTTTTATGTCCGATAAATATCACGATACTCCGGAAATGATAGCTGCACGGCGCTTGTTTGATCTAGCTGGAATTTTGTACATGTGAGTGTACATGAAATATAAATCCTTAAACCCCCCCCCCCCCACTCCACCCCCATCCCCAATCTTCCTTTTGTATGCATTGGGTTGCTATTGCTTTGTCTTAAAATTGTGAAGGAATCTGTTGCTTCACTTCAATAATTTCTCTTTTCCCTTTTACGTACAGAATGGTGTAAGTTGAGATAGTAATGTTATTAACGCTAAAAGTAGAGTTGGGACAATAATGGGAAAGTGGTCGATTGTTGTGAACTTTTTCCAGAGCATTCTTATTATACTGAACAAGCAGAGATGAGCTGTTTTTCATGGACCGATTTTCTTGTATTGGACACGCTGCTATGGTTTTGATACAACCAAAGCATGCAGAAAATTGTAGGTTAGATTTAGTTTCTTTGAAAAATATAGCAAACTTGTCTGCAGAGAAAAGTGGCTTATGATTGGGACTTAATAAGCAAAAATACAAGGAATTATTGTGGAAACAATAGCCTCTGTTCTGCAAAAAAAGAAACACATACTGTTCACAAACAACAAACATCAGTAAAATTTTGTGCTTTGGCAAATGTATCATGACTGCATTAGTTACTGCAAACAGAGCCATATTCATTGTGTAACTAAAAGGTTTTCAGTCATAAAGAAAATGGCTGTGAAAATATAGACCTATAAAGCCAAAATGGACATCTAGATCTAAAGTGTCTATGCAGCCTTCAAATCTATCAAAGTCTTTTACAAAAGATAAATTTATGCCTCTAATGAGCAATCTGCCCTTAGCCCAACTGCCTACCATTTATCGCAGAAAAGGAAAAAAAGAGGGTGTCAGAAATAGAAAATGAGAGATAATTTTATTTGCAACACTTTATTGCTTTTTAATTAAACTATCCCAAATTAATTTACAATGATTATTATAAATAAAAACTTTTATAGGAACCATTTTTAAAAAGATAGTTTTTGAAAAATAATTCTAATTGTGGGATGTGACAAAATCAAGGGAAGGTCTGGATGAGGGACACTTTGTAGAGCATATTAGTATAAACAAAGCAGCCATCCATGAGATGTTGAAACAGTTGTTCTGAAAGGCTCAGGCTGGCTGCAGTTTTCCAGGTTGCCTACATGGATACATAGAGAATACTTCCATGGGATTGGCTGGCAAAGCAAGATGGCTATGCATGCTCATGCAGGCAGAAGCAACCAGCACACACTGCCAACAGGTGCCCTTGGTCACTGAAGTTGCTTTGGATCTCCACTGACAAAGCTGAATCTATTAGCAGTTCTAGGCTATATACCTGTTCCTTCATGGAGAATGCAACTCCATCCAATAAACAAACAAAGAAACCAATTACCCACAGGACCTGAGAACTACCTACGCACAGAATTTCAGACCCACCAGGATTCAGTTGTAGCCTATTTGCTTTCATTTACTCTGCATTAAAACTTTGAATTGCAATGTGTTGGACTTGGTTATGCATGGCAACATTCAGATTGACAGAGAATCAGAGCTGTATGTCATCAGCTTAACAATGGCACAATTTCTCATATTTTTAAAGTGACAGCATGAAAGTACACTAAGTAAGTAGATCATGTAAGGTTTACATTGAATGGATAGCAATTGACAAGTGATGTCTTCTAAGATTGAGGATTATTTCTGATGTTTATAATGTCTCAATAATGTCCATGTAAGGATAAGCTGTATATGCTTCAAAACTCATTTTTATCCTTATAAGTTGTATATGCTTCAAAACTCATTTTTATCTACAAAATATTTTTTATTAAATAAAACAAGTCCAAATGGAAACAGTTTTATCTCAAAAATAAAATCAGTCTAAAGCAATCTCTGAAACCATTTCTTGTAAATGTCTTTCTTTAAAGCTACAGTGTTACGAAATGAAGGTAGACTTTCAAAGGCTCTGGGAGGCAAACTACTAATGTGATAGAAATCTAATTTTTCAGTCTTCAGAATTTGAAAATTAGGGAATTTTATATGTTCAACAGTTCTGGCAGACAATTTTACCCTAATTTACTGAAGTAGAAACATGAAGTGATAAAATGTGGTATGTATGTGAGAGAGACATTTATTACAGGAAGGGCACAAGTCATTCTGTTATGAGATCTTTCTAAAATTTATCTGTGGCTGGCATGCCTCCAAGTATTTCTAACCAATTGGTTGGATAACATTTGTGTATAGTCATTCTTCCAAGCATATCTTTCATTACTGACTATTTCTGCCTTTTGTAATGATTTGTGAGGGTTTGGCTAGGTTGAATGAATCTCTAGTACTGAATTGTCAAGCTTAATGAGACACTAAATCCACATTATTTGCATATTCTTCTGTTTACTAGTAGATTGTAAAATATATACAAAGTCCCCAAATACCTCTCTTGCTAATTGCTGCAGCAGATGCTCTAATGATGTAAAAGGATGAGCTATAGTGATGGTATTAATTTTACAGTTCTAAAATGATTCTAGCTTCAGTAGTTTGTATTTTATCCCCCTTGCATAATGCAGTGTTTTCTGCCTTTCCTTTAAGACTACAAGAAGCAAACTTTGGAAATTTCCTATTAAAAATTGGCATGGAAAGAACATATAAAATGTTACAGAGATGCTACCCCCTATAGCTAAGTTGTTAGAAATCCTTCTAACTCCTGTCTAATTTATGAACTCCAATAGCTGAAGAACATACAGACTAAGCAACCCCATGTGTCTTTTTGTCTTAGTCTTTTTTGTCCGGGTATCTCTCAGTATGGTGCACTATAATTGGCTCCTATAGAGATAAAACATAGAATGAATCCAAGGATATGCTTTTTCCTTCTTAAAATTTAGTTGGGAGCCAAAGCAAACAAAATGTTTAACTACTTCACTAGCTAATATTCCTCTCTTTGTTGTTTTTAGAAAATTCAAACCAAAGTGCAGCAAGATCATCATTGATTTTGATTCAATTAACAGCAAACCAAGTCAAAAGCCTCTGTGAGTTACATCTAATTAAATCTCCAGAAGAGTGTGATTATCCTTTTCTTAGAAGCTGCTAATGCCTTTCATCTTGAAGTTAGGCATAACTTTTTAATAGCCACTACAGTTTAAGCAGACATCTAAGGAATGTGTCAGAACTTGAACATTTGTGCTTTCTCTGCTATACATTTAAACTTTGACTTCCAGGATTTTACTAAATCTTCTGTGAATGAAACTGTCTGTGAGATTAGTATTAGTGGGTAAACAATGCAAAAGGTATTCAATATATTGTGTCAATTAGCCAAGAACTCATCTGACTTGAAGGGAAATAAAATTACAATTCATATTCTGTGAATATTGACTGTACAAGAATGGTTAAAGAATCACTTCAGCAGCATACAACTGTGGGAACACTTGTCCTAGTTTAATTTAATTCAGACTGGCTAGACAGTTATATAACTAGTACTTTAACACTTTGAAATCTTCAGCTACTTAATTGCTTCTTTATATGATTTACATTTGAAAATGTTTTGCATTGGATAAAATTTTAGAGTAGCTTTCATCCCCTTTGCCCCTCTGCCCCAAACATCTTACTTTTCTTAGAGGATGTGAATAAATCATCAGAACCAAATAAGAACTTCTTTGGAGCTGATTTTTATACCCTAAAAAATAATTTGTCCATTGATCTAAAATTCTGGGAGACAATCTAATAATTTCCAACGTTAAAACTAGCCTCTAAATTAGTCAGTATTTTCTTCTAAGGGAAATGAATACGCTTAATCCATATTGAGGCTACATATGCCAAATAGATCATGGCTTTAGCTTGCTTTGGTTTGTTAAAATTAGCATTAAGCTTTAGAAACGTGGATTAAAGCTTTCACAAGATTTCAGTATAGGTCCTTTTATTTGATTTTGACAACAAATATATATTTAGATACTCAAATTATTTCATTTTAAAAAATGTTTTGTGAAGTTTGGTATGTATATTTGTATTAAAATTCTGTGTGTTAAACATTTTTTAATATGGCACGATACCAACATTATAAAATCTCTATTAAAATCTTTGTGAAATATTTTTTTACTATTATATTACTCATTGTGCTTGGTTCTAAATCCTAGTATTTCTGTGGTCATGCAAAAAGTATATTTTAATATTTGTTTTTTTAAAAACATGTTTATTATTTTATCACTAAAGATAAAATATGAAAAAAGAAGGGGGGAAAAAGAAAAAACAAACTAACAAACATCCAACACTAACAACAAACCATGTGACCAAAAAAAACAAGTAACAAATATATCTAACATAAAACATAAGAAAAAAATCAATCCTGGTTGAATGTTGAAAGATATGTCAAAAACCTAATATATTCCCTTCCCGTTATAATATTTGTGATATAATTAAATAAGGCAATACCTTCAATAATTGGACATACTAGTCATGTTTAGTAGAATCCAGAGAACCATTCTTGGAATAGAGGGCTAATTTCATTAAAGAAATGTAAATACTGTGTAGTTCTAGAGTATTGTTCCTAAACTGAAAGAGAAAAGATCTAGTCAATGTATTTTGTCAGTAAAGAAATACTAGATTAAACATACTTTACAATATTAGAGCAGTAAAATATCTTTAGATTTTCTTTAGATTTTGTTTTTTCATTAAACTTCCTCTAGTCTTCTGTCTTGATCTGTGGAAGTATATCCAGTGTAGGTGAAAATAGGACTATACTGAGATTGGTGGTATTTTGCTTACCTATAAATTACTATTGGTTAGGCAAATATAAATGTAAGTCATATAATCTGCTATTATTGTCATACCCTTTTTCACACCAATAGTGTAATTGGCCAAAATATCCTGAGAAAGATCTTATGGTCATAGTGGAAAATGTATGAATATTATGAACTTTTTCATGGCAGGAATAAATTCTATGTACAACTAAGGAAATTTTCATTAATTTAAAAATAGGAAACAAATTGCTAATGTAGCCAGAAAATAAATTACATACTTAAAATGATAATGGTTCAGAAACTGGCTTTCAAGGAACGGACTTTTAATTTAAATGTGAAATAGAAAGGACTTAGTGATCCAAAGCTGAGCGCTGAAATAAGCATTTCTGTTAGCTTTCTCTGAACAGTAAGCCAATATATTTCACAAGATTTTAAAATTCTGCAAGAAGGGAATTAGCAAACCAATTTACATTTTAGAGTGATAGTTTTTTGAATTCAATATATCATAGCCTTGTGATGGCGAACCTATGGCATGCGTGCCAGAAGTGGCACGCAGAGCCCTCTCTGTGGGCACACATGCTGGAGCACCGGAAACTCGAAGACCAGCTCATGTGCATTGCCCAGCTGGTCTTTGGGGCTCCGGCACTCTCTCATGCTCCAGTTTGGGCATTCAGTGCTGAAGAGGTTTGCCATCACTGTCATAGCCAAAAATTAAGATTTCTTGGAGTTTTAGTCCAATTTACCTGAAGAGGTACTGTTTGCCTGTTTCATAATCCAAATTATATATACATAGCAATTGACAGAAAAAAATTGTTGGAAATTTTTTTATAAATAAATTTTGTTCTTCAAGGCCAATATATGGCAATTTCCACGCCAAGTATTACCAGTGCATCAAACAATTCAGCATTTCCAGATGCTTTGGTCTCTCACTTCAGACAGTTGTACTATCAAGGGATTATAGATTTACTAATAGCGTGAGAAGAATGCTCTTTACATTCTTTATATCCAGAACAAATAAATATTTAAAGTACACACTTCCATTAAGAAGTCTACCATGTTTTAAAAAGCAAGATAGCAGATTGTCTTTGCCTTTTTAAGAGTTCTACCTATAGCTATCACGAGTCAAGAACGCTAAGGTTAATCAAAGCCTGTACATACTAAATGTTTGACTGCTCTGTTAGTTCTTCTGAAATGGAGGATGAGTGGAGTTGTGTTGTCCCAAACAGGGAATCAGGGCAATTTCTGTTGTTAGTGTGCTTATAAGTGGCTACCTATTGAAGGAAACTTTCCAAATATACAAGGTCAGGTTTGTAAAACATTAATTAACAATTATAGCATCATGACATGAAACAAAGAGGAATGATGCTGACTTTCATTACCACTAGATAACACAAAAGGTTTATACTTTTCAATAGGTTTGTTACATTCAAAGGACAGACAGGCAATAAAGAGCTTGAATCCCAGTGTGACTATAATATTCCTGTGTTGATCTTCAAAGATACCATGTTATAAGGAGGAAAATTGAAAAACTTTTTTTCAGGCTTGAAATAGGCTACTTTTGACATTTGTTTATGTCCAATAAAATAAATGTATACTATCCTAAATAAAGACTAAATATAATACACGTACATGGAATTTAATTAATTACTGGCACAATCCTTATACTCTTGCCATTATACCTTTAATTAGAAGGAATACAAAGTACTTGCACCCTCAATTAAAGGTAGGCACGGGTTACAATTCTATTCCGAAAAACCCACAGCTTTTGTTCCAAACACATATTGCTGAGATAAGTTATTTGGTTAAGAAACTTGAATTTAAAGCTAAATTACAATATAAACTGAAAAGTCAAACCAATCATCCATCTCAATGCAATCAGAGCATATTAGAAGGCAAATGGAAGATATAGGTCAACAAAATAGGAAGCAGTTGGTTAATTCTTGTCAAAACCAATGGATCAACTTTCAAGTGATCCAAAAAAAGAATCCTGCACTTGCGGGAGAAGGAAAAGGAGAAGTCCAAGGCAATCTCAGGTATGGCCTTTGATTGGAAATCATGGAAAAAAATCAGCATTTCCTATGAATCAGAATCGGCTAATGAACAATGGCAACCTAACAACAACCCCTTGGTGGTTCTGCCTTGATTTCTATTCTGAAGTATCTAACTTTTATAATGCAGTAACTAATTTTATTTTTGTTATATTTTAGAAGGAAATAAAATAACTGCTCGGACCATGTATACTTTGAATATGGAAAGGAAAAAAAACCCCTGTAAGTGTGACTATAACAATTTTCTGCTACCACACAGCAGCAACATTTTTCTTCCATATTAGAGACACATTAATGTGATTCTTAAAGCAGTAGCATCTTTTTTGCAGGTCCACATGAAGACCCTGAAAGAAGACATAGACGGTTTAATGAATAGCAGATAAGTGTGATTTTGACAGAAATTCTAGAACACTACTTATAAATCATTTTAAAATATCAGTCCTGTTACTGTACTGTCCAATTTTCCTTTCCTTTTATCTGTAGATTCCAAAATTCTGATTCTATTGAAGGAGATTGGTGTAAACAGAAAAAGAAAAGAGGAAGACAATGACCACCTAAAGCAGTGTTTTTCAAACTTGTTAATATTAAGAAGTGTGGAGCAACTGTCAGAATTCCCATGCTAGGGAATTTGGAGAGCTGAAGTCCACACATCTTAAAGTTGACAAGTTTGAAAAATATTGATCCAAAGAAACAAAACTATATAACCTTAATTCTTGTATCAGAATTTCAGTACTAGTATAAATGCGTGCATATCTTAGGCTTTTGCATTAAATTCATAGACACGCACACACACACACAACAAAATGCTTTGGGAAATGTTTTTCTTCTCACTTTAAAGAGAACACTACAAGTCCTACAGTCCTTGAGCTTTTATTGCATTCTCTGGAGAAACAAGCTTTGTTGAAGATGTGTTCTTGTACACATATCAGGCAAATGCCTTTTTCTATGCTTTATTCCATCCATCTAGGACTGCAGGCATCTCAGCTGGGCATGTAGAGATGTGAGGAGTAAGCAATGCAAGAATATGTCTACCTGTATGGGCTGTCTGTTTTGATTTGGGGGAGAAAAAAAAACTCAATGACTGCTGCACAGGAGACAGACAGGTTGTGGAGAGGGAGCGTGGAGCCTTTTTCTGAAAAGAAGCCAGGAGCAATATTCATTAAAACATGTCTGATTTTTCCAGGGTCTGGAAAGAAGGTTTGAATTAACATGGGAAATGAAGTTAACCTTTACATCATTCTGATATAGCTACTGAAGAAATGCAGGATAAAAACTTGTATGCAATCATTGTTTAGTTTACAGAAACAGCCCATGAGTGAAAGAAAATAAAATAAATTTCATTCATTGCCATAGATTTGGTAACTACTTTGATATGAATATAGAAAAAGTGCATTTATAAATTTAGAATTTAATCTGTGTCTGATGATCTATATGCAGTATATCTGATGGCCATATTTTCCCGGGGTTATCAGATTTTCAAATTCAATAGCAATTTTTATGCTCTACTCACTGGTAGAATCCTGTATCTTGACGTATATATAGGAAGATTGCTAGTCCTTTAGTAACAATTTTAACACCACATATTTAGTATAGTGGGGTTTTATGTTAGTATGAATGTATTTGAACATAATGATAAATGACAGCAATGCAGCTATGACGAGATGGCACCTTTGCATGTAGAGAAAATCACAGCTGTAGGTTTAAATGCAATATTCAATTCATATTAGGTCTCAGATGTACAACAATCTCCTATGTCTAACTTAGGTGACCCATAAATGAAAGAAAAGTACGTTTTTAATATCTCTCTTGGGCAAAGAAGGAGCCAGATATAATCCCCCCTTCCACCTGACCTCAATAGTGCTAATAAAAGATCACAATGGAGCACAGACATTTATGTCTCAATCGATGCCTGCTGCAATCATCAGACCTTGATAGTTTGCAATTAAGAAATAGTTACAAATGCATGGTTAAAATAAAAAAAGCTAAAACAAATATCCATAAATTAGTCAGATTGGGCATCTTAATCTTAGATCCTTTGGAATAAATTCAAAAGTTTCAGAAATCCAAAAACGGATTTATACAATAACAACATAGAAATATCCAATGCCACACCATCCTGCACCCAAAAGAGTCATAAGGGCATGGATCCAAACTATTGATGGGTGAGAACATAGTAGAAAACATCTACATCCTTAGAGGCCAAAAGTAATCAAAGATTGGCCAAGATACTGCCGCAGTAATCACATTGGACACTTCCCTTGAAGAGTCAAGAAAGCTGTAAATCTGAATGATTTTATCAACCA